CATGAGAGTATTGTGAACAAATCAATTGTAGTTGATCTTGTTAGCAATTGTCTACCCTCCATAGGCATAGTGGCTAGTACTGGAGATGCACTTATACAACTCTCCGTGGGGAGATCTAATGTAAGGCAAATTGAAGGCAGTGGTGAAGAAATCCGTCAGGGTTATGCGCTAGCTCATCTGCTGCCGGAGGAGATAAGAGCATTGGGCTAGTGCGACAAGCTACCGTGCGTGTACGTCAAGAAGACACCACATGGGACGCAGATGCCAGTAGGTGCTGTTCTTGTACGAGGCGAAAAATTAAGACGGGACGAAGATGCTAGTAGGCGCTGCCGTACGTGTACGTAAAGAAGAAAGAAGGGATGAGGATGCCAGTAGGCGCTGTTGTACGAGAAGAAGGCAAGAGAAGACTTCTACAAAGATGTGCATAGTGCTACTTTTTTGAAGAGGAAGACCACGAATGAGACCACTCAACAGGATTCAGCTGCGCAAAAACTTCTTTTTTATGTTGCTATATATTCATCATCGTGATTGAGTTAAACATCAAAATTTTTATCACTCGGCAAAAAATCGAAATCATCACTCGCTTGCTCCCTAAAGTAATAAAAATTTCGCGACAGCTTCTATTAAGCTACATGATGAAGTGCTTAAATGATAGATAATGATCACAAATATTAACACAGTGTCTAGCTTATGTTGACGCGTATCTTCATCTACTTGCCCTATATCCACTTCAATGGGGAAACGAAGATAAAGACGGATCGTTCTCGGTGTCATTCTAGCTACTAAGCAAGAAGTTGTTGAGAAGATATTGCTACGTCTACTTATATCACCAAAGACCAAAGAAGATGTGCTACTTGTATACTAACCTACTTGGCAAAAGGTGTGGCTACAACTTCGCATATCATATCGCCAAAGTTGTAGATAGTCTATCACCGAAGAGTAAGAGTTGTTTGAGGATTATGCAGCTAAATTGTCTCTGATAAAAACCATCAAAAGAGACTAAATCAAAAGTAACGAGTTTTCACTTTTTTTGGGAGTTATCTTCAGTATTAATTTACATTTCTAGAAGAATGGAAGCGAAGGCGGAGGGTAGAGCAATGTAGTTTTTGATTTTCTTTCAGTCTCATCTGAACAAGAGGTGTTTGTACCTACTACTGAGAACGATACTAAGATAGAAACGTGAGAAGAAAGCTTTTCTTCGAGTTTTCCTTTTTGAAAATATTCAATAATATCGGAAAATCTTTTTGAGAGATATCTTATGATGAACTACAGGCTGTTTTCCAGATCCAGTGTAAAGCCGTTGCTTCTTTGCGTCAAGCCTAGGTCGTCTGAGACGCATTGTGACCACTGAGACAGGCTATCATTGAAACTGAGACGCATGCATCGCGCTAGCTGCTGGCATGTTGATTTGTGACCAATATGATGAAAATAGAGTTAGCGTCAGTGGCCAATGATGGTGTGGAGGGTACGAGAGCCCCCCAGAAGACGAGGGTAGCGCGACGTCGCCGACAGAATAGAATAGAGGGGCAGCTCGTACTTCTTTGCTGGGTCATTTGATAATTGTCGTACCTGATGCGAACGAAGGACTTGATGTTGAGGAGAGGAAGGCGCTGTTCTCAATTATATTATGAATCACTCGGTTACCGACGGTAGTGAAGGTATCGTCTGTATATGTTATGGATGCGTCTTCGTTCTTGTGTCGGTCTCTATGT